TAAAAAAAAAAAAGTCGCAAACCACCTTTCGCTCAATGGCAAACGGGTGCAAGGCCCAAACTCACCTCTCCGCAAAAAGACGGCGCCATCTACGTAGGGTCGGTGCGCCTGTTCCTTCGTATCCAAGGCGACCCCATTGTTACGTGGCGCCCAGGGTAACCATGGCAACCTCCAGGCAACCGTCCAAGGAGGGAAAAGCGGGAGGCACGTGGAGCCCCACAATTGCCATTTCTGGCCGACGTCCAGGAGGCGCGAGGCCCTTGAGAGCCGGAGGGCGGGGTCGAGCGCGGCGCGTGCACCTTGGAGTTGGGGGGAGGGGGAGCGGAGAACGTTTGCAAGCCAACCGCAGCAAACAAACGGGCGGTAACAGAGGACAGGGGCTGAGCTCACAATCCCATAACAATCCTACTATCAAGGGCGGGCTGCAGCATGGAAAAAGGGGCGCAGGAGGAAACCCCAAGAGAGCAGCACCGGCTCCTGCATCCCACGGCTTGGCAGAGCACTGCCTGCATGGACCATCTTCTCCTGCACCCTTTGCCAGGCCAGGGGGGCAGGGACTCGCACCTTCTGCTGTTCCCCCCCAAGCAGGCTCCCCAGCACCATCTCCTGCACCCCCTCTCTCCCAAACAAAGTGTTTTGCACAAGGAACAGAAACTTCCACAGCCTGGGGAAGGGGGTGCCTCTAAAGAACAGCAGCAACATATTTTGGAAGAGCAAATTTGTCTTGGCAGGCAGCTTTCCCAGCCTGTCATTGGGATGGAACCGGGAGTCTGTGAAAAGCAGGAAGAGGAGGAAGAAAATGGGCACCAGAAAGGGCTACAAGTGAAAGCAGAAGAACGTGACCCAGAGAACCCATTGCTCTTTATGGGAAGCAGCAACAAGAAAAAAAGGCGAGAGCCTAAAACTCTTACAAACCGTCTCAGTGGCAAAGATGAAAGTAGCAGCAGCGTGAAAGGTGTGGGAGAAGTCAAACTGGGGAAAGTTGAAGAGCCTGAGGAGATCAAGAAAGAGGCAAAGATGAAAGAAAATTGTGATGCCAAAGCCTTGGGGCCTGCAAAAGAAGGGGCCATCAAAACTGAACTGGTAGAGCCTCCTGAGGAGGATTGCAAGGGGAGGGAAGAGGTGGCATCCAAGCCTCGACCATCCTCCAGTGGCCCAGCTCACGTCAGCAAGGATGTTAGTTTGTCCCAACCTCTTGGAAACCAGCATTCTCAAGAACTGAAGATCCCCGTTACACTCCATCCAGTCCCTCCTGGGGCTAGGATCCAGTTTCAGGGACCACCTCCATCTGAGCTTATAAGAGTGACTAAAGTGCCAGTGACACAAGTGCCCCTTAAAATGCAGTCCTTGCTGGAGCCTTCGGTCAAAATTGAAACTAAAGATGTTCCTCTCACAGTGCTACCCTCAGATGCAGGTATTAGAAATGAGTCAGTTTTTATCATATTGGCCATAAGCTGTTATAAGTAAACACTGGGATCAAACAATAAGAACACCACTATTATGTCAAAGTATAAGACAGTGCTCCCCACCCCTCACACTTTCTGAGTCAGCAGTTCATATGCAATGTTGCATATTCCAGCTGCAGGTAATAAAAATAGCAAGTTCCACAAAACTTTTTTTTCCTGGAGCTTCCCATTGTGGAAACAAGCTATTATTCATTTCTCTCTCTTAAGCATCTAAAATTAATATACAGTTATTATTGTATTCCTCAAACGATGTTTGACAGAGGCAAAAAATATTAAAACAGGTTAAAATGCAATAGGGCTATGTGGCACTTCAGATTTGATTCTAAAAGATGCAGCTGCTTTAAAGAGCTGTAGACTGATGCTGAATTTGTGCTCACATGTGAGAGATTATCTTTTTGAAGTTGAATCAAAGACCCTGCACAGGCCTAAAAATCTAACATTTATTTTAGGATTTACTTTCACAGAGTAAAGCCTACATTATCAATGCATAAAACCTTAACGTTACAATAAAGGAGTTAGGTCTTAACTGTTTTATTTATCAAATTTATATAGCTGCCCATCTCACAAATGTGACTCTGGGCAGTGTACAATAAAATAATTATAAAATATATCTTAAACATTAAAAACATCTAATAAGGCCATGGGAGAATGTTAAAATATTCATACATAATAAAAGCATCTTGTGGGCTCCCTGTTTCCAAGGGATTCCCAAGCCTGCTGGAAAAACCATGTTTTGAGAGACTTCCAGAAGGCCAATAGGGTCGCAGCTAATCTCACCTTGGGGAATGTTGTTCCAAAGGGCGGGTGCTGCAGCAGATGAAACTCCTTAGCTGACGGGACTCATAACACGCACCTCCTGCCTGATCTGATAGGACCGGTAAATATAATTGGGAAGAGGCAGTCTCAGATATCCTGGGTCCATGCTATGTAGGGCTTTAAAGGTCAAAACCAGCACCTTGAATTGGACCTGGAAGGAAACTGGCAACCAATGCAGTTTGTGGAGCAGAGGTTAATGTGTGCTGTTCTGGGGGTACACATAACTGCCACATCTTGCACCATCTGAAACTTCTGAATACTCTTCAAGGGCAGCCCCATATAGAATGCATTAGAGTAGTCTGTTTGGGAGGTGACCAGGCTACAAGTAACTGTGAGCAGAGCCGCCTGATCCAGGAACAGGCACAACTGGCAAATAATTGAAATTATTTTTATTGCTATCTTCTGAGGAATTAGAGTAAGTGAATAGTCCTCTAGCTTATTCTCCCAACAATCCCATAAAATAAATTAGGTTGAAAGATCGACAGGTAATGTCATAGTGGAATATGGATGAGAAGTTCATTCTGTTGGAAGTCTCACATTGTAACATATGTATCAAATCTGCTGGTTTTGGTGACAAAAGGCAGGGATTTTATTTTTCTTATGGGGTATCTCTGCAATTTTGTTGTTTAAAAATAAATTTGTCTATGTCAACTGAATTTGACCAGATTGCTAATAAAATGCCTTGTCAAATGATACACAGATGGAATCCTCAATTATCTAGTGTGATAGTGGAAATAGTGATGAGGTTAAAACCAATCCTTTGAATTATGGCAAAAGAGAAAGAACCAAACTATATCTTGGCCACAGCTTCATATTTTCTTTTTGGTGGATATGTAATGTTTATCATAGATTAATAAGAGCCAAGAATCTCTCTCTTCCAATGGTGAAGTTATTTATTTATAAATCTACATATATTCATTCAGATAATTAAATGTAGGCTACTGTGCTTTTGGTAGCAATTTCTTGAAGGAATTAAATGACTTGAAATTTACTGGTTATATAAAGAGGTTAAATAAATCACAGTTCAGGGATTTTAATAAATATGTTTAGGATTAGAATTTCACAGCAACTATATGTTGATTATAAATTGCCATAAGAGTTTTTTTTTTAATCTGTCCATTCCATAAGTGTATTACAGTAAAACATGAGCAAGATAAACAAATCAGCATAGGGCTACGTGAATATTAATAGACTTTGTCCTGTTGAGTTAGGGAACAAAGGAAAAAAATCTCCTGTTTGTAATATTGGCGGGGGAGGGGGGATATGCTCCTCCTCCAAGAATACAGATGCTACAGTTGGGCAAGTTTGATCCCCATCCAATAGAAATCCTGAGTGCAGGCATTTATTTTCACTCTCATTCCTGTGTGAAAAATTAAATAGCGCTGTTGTAAATACCATTGTAAGAAGAAAATTCAGCGTGCCCCATCACAAAGATGTAGCACCATAACCCCGAAACTGTAGAGAATAACTGGCTGCCATTGAAAGGGTTCCAATTTTAGGAATTTTATATTAATCTCCCTGGATCTTTCTCAGGCTCAAATGCTACAAATGTAATCATTTTATTAGCAAGTAAATAATCCTACTCTTTAAGTTATTTTTAAAATTTATAAAGTTACTATATTTGGGGAAAAGACACATTTGTAAAGGGCAAAATTCCATTTCTGGCAATTGCATGTGTGAAGGTCTCCTACCTGTATTTCTGAAGCACTGTCTGTTATTCAGTGTAGGCTAGATAATAAGATAATGAACAAAAAATGGTCTGATTCACGATAAAGCAACTTTCTTATGTTGTACTATTAAAATGAAAGCAGAAATGAGACTGAAAGGTTGATAATTTTTTCTTTCAATATAATTTAATAGGGAAGCTGTTATATAAATGAAAACTTTTACTTGCTCTTTGTTGTACTGATTTTTTTCCCCCCTGTTCTAGTAGTTCCACAATATATTGATTTAGATCCTAGGAAAGCTCTTTTATAACCTAACGGGAACTGAAAATCAGATACATGTTCCAGTATAAGGTTACAAAAAATAATTTCAAGTACCCTCAGAATAAAAGGGTGAATGGAAGCATGGGTCTTGGAAGGGACAACATTACTCTTGGAATCATTCTTCATTTAACATTTAAGTATTCCCAAAGATATTGGTGTTGTAGTCAAATCACTGAAATGTCACTGGTATTGTTGCAATAATGAAAAGGATTTATCCACTGGATTAGATGCAGGTCTGGCTTCCAAACAGAAGGTTTGTTGTATTTGTGTAAGGGTTGTGATCATAATTAAAGTATGAACTATAAGTCTATAAACACTTTAGAAACAACCTCATGTGGTTGTTTATCTCAACATTTTTACTACAAAATTAGAAAAGATACAGAACAGCAAATTAAATTCTGAACTATAACGTGAAAGAGTTGGGCTTTTCAATTAAGGAAAAAAGAACTGAGACAATGTGTAAATTGGTATTATAGAATTTCATACTATGTGTAAATGGATAAAAAGACATGTCCCTTTCTTATGCTAGACTGGGATTTGTTACATTTCTATCCCGTCTACCTGTTCCCCAAGGAACTGTGGGTTTTTTTCTTTACAAAACTCTTTGAGTGATTTAAACTAAGAGATCCTACCTGCTTACTGAGGAATTGCAAAGATTTGAACTCAGGTGGTCTCTCAGTGCAGTATAACACTCCTCCTCTTATCCTGCAGGAACTTTCCAAGTGATTGGCAGTTACATTTAAGAAGATGAAAAACACCGCTTCACCTAGCACTTGTTGAAAATTTGGAATTTGTTTCCATGAGATACGGTGTTGCCTGTTAGCTTAAAAGGGAACTAAGTTGGCAGATTCCTAGACTGTAAATCTAGTAACAGCTATTTTCAGTGGTGGTTAAATTGGATTTCAAGGAGTTGGTCGATTAATAGAGGTGGGGAACCAAGAAACAGGGCCCTGGGTATCTGAGAAGGAATGTTGGTCAAGATGCTTAGTTAACAAGGCTCTGGTCAGAATGCTGTTCAGCTGGTGACAGCATAGTTATTTGGAGATGTTTCTCACTGATTCCAGTGGAACTTGCTTCTGGACAGAAGCCTGATCCATATAGGATAATATGATTTGGTTTGGTTTATTTATTTCATTCTATTTATATGGGTGCCCATCTTGCTACCACAGATCTGGCCAGCTCCAGTGCAATAACAAATAACCTCAGTAGCAAAAAAACATACAGTAAAAGGTGTAAAATGGCAATGAAGGGCAGACCAAGCTGCAGTAGATTAGCAAGACCTTGCAGACCCAATTATCCTGACCCCAGTGCCTGGAAAACAGACAGCTCTTAAGAGCTTTCCAAAAGGCCAGCAGCATTGGGGCCATCTGAATCTTGTGGGCAAGCTGTCCGAAGGGCAGATGATGTGACAGAAAAAGCCTGCTTGCTGGGTCCCACTAGATGACATTCTTTAATTGATGAGACCTGGGTTGTGGTATGATTTTTATGCTGTTGTTTAGGATACAGTGTGCTATGTAAGCCTAACCAAGTTCAACAAGCCATGGTCTAGCATAATGTTAAGCTAGTCAGTAGGACCATGTTTTTACATCCTGACTCAATATACATTCATAGCTATGGCTGCTTTGGTCTCAGGTAAACTCAGTGTACAAACAAAATACAAACCATTCCAAAATGGTTGGAATCTTATTTACCTGGAAATATTTTTTACTTTTGAGTAGATGTTCATAGGTTTTCAAATAAAAAGTGTTTTAAGATAAAACAAGAATCTAGCAGGAGTAGAATTTGTTGCCTGTTGCATATGCTTTGCTTCTTTATTTGTAGACAAATCAAGTGTTGCAAAGATACCATGGAGCTCAATTCTGTTAATGTCTACTCAAAAGTAAGTCTTATTGACTTGTATCTTAAATTTTAGCAAGTGATGCCCATTTATAGAATAATGTGGTAGCCCCAGTTCCCTTGAAAGATTCCTCCAGTCTGAGGGCATCCTGTAGAACAAGAGGCAGGATATAAATCAGATTACAGTCTGGGGGGGTTGGAGAAGTGGAAGTTCCTCTTTGTTGGGATGAGAATCTTTGTTGGATTGGAGTCCCTTCTGTTTTTAAAAAGATCTTTTAAAAAGGATTAGAATGAAAACATACAATGAAAGTTACTCCCCAATGAGTGTGCATAGGATTACTGTATAACCTAACACCCAAGCTTCTTAAGGTAAATTTCACTTGTTAAATGGGAATTATTCTCAAGCAGGTGTCTGCAGGAGGTCAGCCTTTACACTTAATTGGGAGTAAGTGTCCCTGGAACTTATCAAACTAGTGCTTCTGGACTTTAATTCCCCTTTCCTCCTGAAAATTGGGGCAAACAGCTGCTTTTCCTGGCCCAATCAAAATGGTTGAGCTGACTCTAGTGGGGAGATGCAGTCTTACAAGTAATCCAGCACCAAGCCCTAAAGGGCTTTATAGGTTGAGACCAGCACTTTAAATTGTACCTGGAAGCTAACAGAATTCTAACCACTGCAGGGCTCACACAAGTGTAATATATGCCCACTTTTAAGCACCTGGGCCACTGCATTTTGCATCAACTGAAGCTTCCAGGTGGTCTTTAAGACAGCTCCATGTAAAGTATGCTGTAGTAGTCTAATCAGGTGATGATGAGGACATGAGTCACTACTCAGATCCTCAAGTCCCAAGTAAAGCCACAACTGGCACACTAGCTGAAGTTGGGCAAAGGCCGCCTGGCTAAAGCTTCCAGCTGCTTATCTAGCAGGAGCCATGAGTTTAGGAGAACCCCGAAGACCCACATTTAAATGACCATGAGAGAGTAAATATATTTTGGGTGATATTTGTTGTGGGGAAAAATCTGCCTTCCATCCAAATAGCAGGTCGTTTCACTCATAGTATCATAAACTGAATCTCCATTATGTCTCTGTATTCAAAAGGCAAATATATTTCATTCCAGGCAGTCTGTGTAATATACAAGAGTTATTATATATTTATGCTCTGCTTTCTTTGGCATTTTTATAATTTATTTGATGGAAAAGAACTTGCTTTTATTTTTTTTTTTTTAAGGAAATAAAAATCAGGTGAAGATTTCATGTGTGGGATGTAGCATTCTTGCATTAAGAATGTGTGAATGCCCTGTTATTCATTGTAGATTTTCTTTTTCAAGTGACATGCAACTTTTCTGGCTTCTTACATTTCACTAAGTTTAGTGTAGTGATTAAGATGATGGACTGTCACTGGAGAGACCAAAGTTTAAGTGCACTCTCAGCCATGAAAGCTCACTGGGTAACTTTGGGCTAGTTGTATACTCTCTCAGCCCAACCTACCTCAAAGGGTTATTGTGGGGAAAAACTGGAGGATGAAGTGCTATATATGCTACCTTGAGCTCCTGAAGGAAAGATGAGATATAAATCTAACAAATATTTGGAGAGATGTCAT